CCCTCTCCCACGTCTCCCCCTACAGGTGGAAAAGGGTCTTTGACTGAGGCTCAGTGAGGCCTCCTGGTTCCTCTATAGGTCCCCACGATACCGCATATGTGTGTGTGTTGTGATGTTTTGGATAACACACACACACACACACACTTTGTGTCAAAAAACGTGTTCTTCTACGTCCGTTATCCATCCTCGTGGGGACCATTTTCTTTCCTCCTCACAATGAGAATTACACAGGACTGGACCTGAAACTGACACACACACACACACACACACATCACAGTGTCATCCGTCTGAGCCCTTGTACCACCCAGCACCCCCCCATGCCCCCCCCATCTCACTGCCTCTCTCTCTCTGCCCCTCCAGGGCCAGTATCGTCCAGAAGAGAGTCATCTATTTCCAGGAAGAAGGTTCTCTCACCGTCCGACTCTGTGAGAAAGGTAATTACAGCTGCCCGTCAGTTTCTCCTGCGCTCCGGCGCCCCCTGGTCTTTTCGACAGGTTGGTCTCAGCGTCGTTAATGTCTCTTCGTTTATCAGATTTTTTTTTTTTTTTTTCACCTCACCGTTCACAGCAGAGCAGCAGTTTCTACTGTTAGAATTTATGGAACTTAAACCAATATGTTTTTACAGCCTGGAAAAATAAGACGGTGAGAAAAAAAAGAAGTGGAGTTTTGCTCAGATGAACACGGTTATTGCTTGATTTATAAAAAATAAAAAAAAAAACAGAACAGAAAAGAAAGAAACAACGGACCAATCATCTCTCATCTCTCACTCTCCGGGGAATTTCACCTCCACACTTTTCCTCTCTTCTCATCACAATCTCATTTTCCAGGCTGTTATCAGAGCCAATCCACATAAGTTTGTCGCTGCCGTCGTCGTTGTTCCACACACTTCCTGTTGTAACCAAACATCAGGACAGAGCGTCGGAATGTCACTAATATTCCCACTTACCTTGACCCACGTCAGACAAAGGTCAAGGTCGATGTTTGAATATTTATATGTTTGAAGGTCCAGACTAGACCCAGGTCCTGGTCTGGACCTGGTCTGGACCTTTGTCAAACTAGGATCTGATTCAGACCTGTTAACGAAGACTGGGTTCTGATGCAATGAAAATACAAAAATAAAATTCATAAACATGGACAACATGGAGCGAACGTCATCTGTTGGTCGTCTGTTCCACTAGCCGCTAAATGCTACTAAATGCTACCACGTTAGCTCTGGGCTCCACTAACTGGACTGAGTGAGTAGATCTCAGAGCTGGTGTAAAGAACTGTTCTGATGGGTTCTAACATCTCTGTGTTTCCTCCTTTTGTTTTGTTCTGTCCTGTTCTCGTGTTTGTCTCCGCTCAGAGCCGGCGTTGGACGGAGCCACAGAAACTCCGGCCTTGGAATGCTGCGCCTGCGGAACGGCCAAGTACCGACTCACCTTCTACGGCAACTGGTCGGAGAAAGTTCATCCAAAAGACTATCCACGTGAGTGCACCACACTGTGGTGGGATGATGTCACTGCACACTGGTATGTACCACTGTAGGATGTACGCTGGTACATACCGCTCCGGTGCTGAACACGGACCTCAGCGGTTGGTGCAGTTGCCTGACGTGGTTCTGTTTCGTACCGGGTTATTTTTAGGACTCTCCACTGGAGCTGATTTTATTGCTGTTCCTAATCGGTTCCAGGTAAAGTCTTTGTACTTCTAACTTCACCAGCAATAAAAATCCTTCAAATACTTTATGGTGTGCATACACCCCCCCCCCCCCCCCCTCTCTCCTTTTTTTACTGTTACGACAGTTCCCTGATAAAACTGAAATTCCTTCAAGTGAGTTTGTCCTTGAACCGTGTGAAACAGTGTCTGGTACTGTTCTTGATGGGGTTCAGTTCTGTTCTAGTCCCGGTCTGTCCTTCTGGGATGGTGGGAGTCCGATCTGGGTTTTTTAATGTAATTGTTACAGTGACATCTAGAGGACGACAGAGGCCTTTCCGACATCGTCAGTTTTTCAGTAACCGTAAGTTCTCACCTTCCAGGTCGCGCAAACCACTGGTCAGCTCTGATTGGTGCGTCCCACTCCAGGAGTTACGTGCTGTGGGAGTACGGTGGCTACGCTAGCGAAGGAGTCCGACAGGTGGCAGAGTTCGGTTCGCCCATCAAGATGGAGGAAGAGATTCGACAAAAGGTAAGAGCCGACGCCGCGTGAAGTCCTGGCTCGACTTTTATGGCTGTGTTTTAATGAAATGTCAACAGTGCATACGTTTTAATGAGTCTCATATTAGATTACAACCAGAGCGGCGCGTTGGACTTTAATGCGTTCTGGGCCTAAAAATAGTGTCGAGAATCAGCCGTTTGTCAGCGCACATACAGCCCGGCGTCAGTTCTGCTGCTCATTAAACGCATTTGTCAAGGGCTATTACAGCATACTGAGAGGGTAATGACAGGCTGAGAGGCAATAAGGAGCTAAACAAACACACACACACACACACACACACACACATTATACAGCACAACAGAAAATTTATAGCCAAACTTTTTTATTCATGTCATCGGCAAACCCATTTCCCCCCGAGTGCAAACCTGACCCGAGCCTGTTGGGACACGTTAGGATCCAACAGAACCGTCTGGGACTGGTTCACCTTCTTCTACAGATTTGATTCCAATTGGAAAAAAAGAAAAAAATCTTGATAGAAATGAAGGATAATGAAGTGTTTGACGGTGAGAAGCCGGTCCTGCCGACGACTGAAAACATGTAACGGTGTGTGGACACATACACAGTTACATGTTTACATGTTCACTGATCTTCCATTACCAACGGAAGGAGCGACTCAGGGTCAGGTTCTTGGTCAAGGACACATCGGCATGAAGTTGTTGCGGTCCACTGTTTGTGCAGCCCACACACACACACACATTCACCCCAAACTCGTGGTTCGTCTGCGTATGTGTTTCAAGCTAACGCACGGTGTATTTAGAATATATAGAATCTCTCCCCCCCCCGTCCCCCCCCCCGTGGGCACAGACGTGCGCTGGCCATTTGTGAGCAGACAACAGTGTGTTGTTAGTGGGCTGTCACTGTGGTGTGTACCTGTCACTTTCAGTTTGCCCTGTTTTGTTGAGACATTAGCGTCTGACGAGCAGCCGACTCCTCTCCCGGCTGAATCCGTCTCTCTCCGGGGCTAATAACTACCCTGGCACAATGGAGGCTTCAGCCCACTCCGTAGCAGAACCAGACAGTTTGATTGTGCGCCGTTGCCTGGAATGTTGGCTGTGGAAGCGCAGAGAGAAACCGTGTGATTGTACACCGGGACGTCGGCCCGAGAGCGCCTGGAAAGAGCGCTGAAGAAAGACTTCCTTAAACGTTTCCCCCCCTCCTCCTCGACATCAACATCCGAAAATAGGAACCGGGAAGATAAACCTGTTAGCGAAGCAATAAATGCTAACACATCAGAGTGATTTCTAAAAAATGCTTTTTCAACTTTTGCCCCAGATTTTAGGTCCATTTCCCCGACCCTGATTCATTTGGAGTTCAACTTCAGACTCAGGAATAAGACCCCCCCCCCACCCCACCCCGCCCCCCCCATGAAGTCAGGGGAGTTTCATCTTGCTCCTTTCGTCAGGGGTCACTACTGGGGCATTACATAAAGTGTCGCTGGCAAAGTTTTGTGATGCAACTCTCTCCTTCCTAATGCAACTCTCCCTTCATATGTGGCCACAGGACCAGGGTTAAGTCCAGGACTGGAACCCATGTTTCCCTGAACTCCAAACAGGCTCCAGGTTTCAATCTGCCTCTGAGCAGGTCTTGTTGCCTCCGCCTGATACCCATTCTCAGCCTGGCTACATAGATGTGCGTCCAGTGTGAAAACCAAAGTGGCTGTGCAGATTACCCCTGTAGTGACCCCTGAAGAGGGTGTCGGCCGACAGCGTTTCTCGCCTTAAAATAACTGCACACACACTCGTACACACTCCCAGACACACACACAGGCTTTTAACCTGTCTGGAGCGTCCGAGTTCACACCGGGTGAACATGGAAATGGCTGCTGTGAGGGTATCAAGTGGCCATGGGTCAGTAAACCCTGTCTGGGCTGCAAATCCCAACCATCCAATCAGCCGTGGTGATGTGAGGACAAATCCCAGAGACCAGACTCTCAGGACTGAGTCCATGAGCCCATGATCCTTAAACTGACACCCCAGAGAGTCAGGCTGCAGACGGAGAGAGAGAGAGAGAGAGAGAGAAAGAGAGAGAGAGATGATAATGTAAGGACAAGTCCCAACGTCTCTGTCAGAAATATTCTACTACAGTACTACATACCTGAGCAAAGGTCGAATGTATTCATCTTTACAAGGCACGGAAACATAGATAATTATCAGGAACTCTGTCTAAAGATAACGAGAGGAGTTTGAAGAAATATATATAAAATATATCTGTGTATATATATATATGCTAGCACCGTCAAGGTGAATGTTGATGAAGGAACGTGTGAAAAGCTCTGTTTTGGGTTCATCTTTATAATTTGCATCACTATATAAAACAGTACATCATCTGCATATTGATGTAGGTAGAAACTGAAAGAGATCAGGAAATCAGTTCTGTAGTTTAAAACAAGATCCAAGCGTGTGATTTGTTTGTAACAATATAAAATACAGAGCAGCACTATCGTAGATCATTGTTTCCCAAAGACTGGGTCGCGACCCTCAGGTGGGTCGCAAGTGATTTTTTTTTTTTGTGTCGTCTCGTGTGATGTTTCCCAGGAGTTTATGAATAATGACTATTGACTTGGGTCGCGAAGGTTTGTGACTTTTAAAATATGGGTCTCCAGAAAAAAAAAGTTTGGGAAACTGTGCTCTAGATAACCAACCTAGATATGTTGTCCCAGGTCTCGACCTCATGTTTGGTTGGTTTTTGTGTATCCTTGCCAAACGAGTACTCTTTAAGACTTTGACATGTGAAAACCTGTTCTCTGTGCTGCAGCTAATCATGACAATTTTCCTGTTTGTCACGGTTGAAATTGGCCATCAACCAATCACTGATAAACAGAGCAGAAAGGACTCATGGGACAGGAACTGACACGCAACAGCTTCAGGGAAATATGCGCAGTAAGGCTTAATTTTCCAAATCTCGACCGTCGGCCAGATTCCTGTTTCCTCTGCAAAATGACATCACACCAGAGTGAGATTTACTCCTCAAAGTCGGGGGCGGGGGGAGTGGTTTTAGTTTCTGTCTATCTGGAGTCGATCTTAGCTGATCTTTAGAAATCTAGTTAATGTCACAGTCACGGTAACACTGTGAGGAATTAAAGATACAATTGTTTCCATCCATCATACGTAGAGGGTTATTGTGTATAATAATTGTCCGATGTCCTCAACCAGAACCTGCAGCTTCACCTGAACGACTTCACACTTGAGCCCAGACTGACAGTGAGAGTCAGAGGGTGAAGATCAGGAGCTCCAGGGGCCATTTTGTCCAAATGAAGTGGAAATTATCCTCTTAATGTCACCGCTCCCTGAGTCCAGAAACGGAATTACACCTCAGGTCCAGTTATTGATCACAGGAAGAATGTCAGCGGCCGCCCACAAATGTGTGTGTGTGTGTGTGTGTGTGTGTGTGTAATGATCGAACCGAGTAGAAGCTGCTGTAAAAACATTCACAGGCAGCCGAGAAGCGAACCCTCAGCCTTTGTCATCGCCATCTAACAAACATCTGCGGCGTGGTAATTATTAGCGCCCTGTGAAATGCCACATGCGCTCTTCTCCACCAGGTGTGATCACAGCCCAGATCAGACGCTGAAATGTCAGGAGCCGCTGCCCGTCGTGCCGTTTGTTTCCACATTAAAGCTGCACCGGGTCGATTACATTTTAATGAAGTTAAAAAAAAAAACCAGAATTCTCTTCCTCTGTAGTCATTCCAGCCTCTGAAACCTCATGGTCGAGCGCAGCGGGCTCGCTCCACGCTGCAATCCGGCTTACCTTTAAAAGGATTAGCATACGGGGGCCGCCTTTTATTCTGGAACAGCGGGCGTTCGGGAACCTGTCGCTTCTACAGCTGTTGTGTGAAAACCGTTGAACATGCTGTTCCGTTCCAGTGGAACCTTCAGTTGAACATGCTGTTCCGTTCCAGTGGATCCTTCACTTTCCGAGAAAAAAAAAAAAACAGCAGGAAGTGTTTCCTTTCAAAAGTGAAATACTGTGGAGGCAGCGGCTGATAGTTTTACCTCCAACCACGGCCTTGAGCGCAGCACACCGTGTACCGTTTATTGGCCACAGCCCACAGCTAACATTCATCCCGGCGCTGCAGGCAGAGCGACGGTTGATTTTTTTTCCTCGGCACAAAATGACACTTTGTCATCACAACTTTGAGAGAAGTGAAAAAAAAACATGAAGTTTTTTTTGTTTTTTTTTACCTAGAAAACCTTGTCACGGTGACCTTGTCTGTGTCTGGAGACGTGGCCCTGGCAGGAGGTGAATCTGCAGACGCCTCGCAGCTTTTTCCTCAAACTAACCTTCATCATCACAGAGACTGCGTTTTATCGATTCATTTTTAACTTTTTTTTTTGCATATCCTTCCTCAAGTCTTTCACTATTTTTTTTTCCCATCAACCATTTTCTGAATTTTATTTTTCCCCACTGCACCTGTGAGAATCTGGTCCAATCCAGAATGTTACGCTCCTATCACATCCGTAATAACGTTTTAACATTTTGTTTCGACAAATGTGTTGTGATACTTTCACAGTTTTTTTTTTTTTTTTGCAAATTGCAATTAATTTGGACAATATTGACATATCAGATATCGGAAAAAAATGAATATCGGACATCTCTAGTTTTTCTCATGAATGATTTGCTCTTTTATCAAATCGAATTTACTGACAGTGACGCCCTGAAGCCTTGACTCTGTTTCGTCAGTCGTTTCTTTCTTTCTTTCCTGACGTCTCCTTCTCCTCTGTCCTGTTCACTGCCCTCGTCTCATCTGAGATTTTTTATTTTCCCCCGACTGTTTTGAAAGGTCTCATTTTAGACAGATTGTCAGAGAAAGATGCTGCTGCTGCTGGTGAAGATGCTGTTAGTGGAGGAGCGGGTGGGGGGGCAGGGACGGGGGGGCAAAGGCATCTCAGGAAGATCCAGAGAACTATCATTTAGTTTTCATCGACTCAAAACACAGCACAGGAAATTGCTGCTGACAGACGTGTGTGT